AGAGAGAGAGAGAGAGAGAGAGAGAGAGAGAGAGAGAGAGAGAGAGGGAGAGAGAGAGAGAGATTGAGGGAGAGGGTGTGAGAGTGGGGGGTTGGCAAAGAAAAACAGACACCGTGAGAGGATGCTATAGAATGAGAATGTGAGTGAAGGAGAGAGAATGGGAGTGACAAATAGATAGGGGAGGGGAGAGAGAGAGGGGAGAGAGAGAGAGAGAGAGAGAGAGAGAGAGAAGAAATATAAAATTAAATACAAAACACAAAGAGAGAGAAACACCAAGCTATCCCAAGGCTATTTCGTTGGCAGGAAGGCAATGGACTACTTTGAAAGTCAAAATTACACCAAGGAGCGGCTTGGCAGCAGGCTGCAGCAACAAAGCCAGATTCGACAACAGCACCAACTTCTTTCTAGTCCACCAAAGCACACTTCAGAAGCTCTCATAAGGAGATGCAACTCCATTGCTGCTTTCTATTTCTACATCACACATACCCAGACCCTTTGGCTTGTTTTTCAGCGAGGAGAGACTTTGGCTTCTCTCACCGTCCCGTCAGTGGAAGTTCCCTGGCGCTCTGTTTGAAAAACATTCTTTTTATGCAATCAGTGAATGTTTCACAGGACAATTCACCCAATTCAACATAACATGATGTGCATTACTCAACTTGTGTGCATCCATATGAGGTACTAGTGAGAGTCTACGAGAGTGTTTGCATCTGCAGTGACATCCACGGCTGTGGAGGGAAGATCATTCCTGTGAGCAACAGTTTCTTGCATATTATATGTCTGTGTGTGTGTGTGTGTAGCAGATGAAATGAAGTTTTGCTATCCCACAGGGCTCCATAATAATTGAACGGGCATCATAAACTGTACAGTCATGTGACATCCTCCTCAGACTTTAGTGTTTGCAGGTGCTGCTGCACTGAACAGCAACAAATAAAAAAGAAATACTCAGCAGATATAATGCAAATATCCCAACAACAAGGAACCGGTCCTGATTCCCAACAGTAGTTAATGTGTCCTTTCTATATCTTTAAGCCAGATAATGCATCTTAACCAGATATTCCAAGTACTATACTGATATTCTCATGTAGGAGTTTTGGTTGTGTGAGGTTCTTATCCATAGTCAGTGTATTACAGCAGATGGCTATTGGCATGCCCCCATTTTGGAGAGACAAACAGGAGTGTGTGCACGGGAATGTACACATTTAGAGTACATGCAGTGTCCTGTAGTGTACTACAGTTACAGGAAACAGTATATTTCTTGTACACAAACAAGCACACACACACACTCTTTCCACAGACGACACAACTCTTCCAAAATGAATCCATCAAAGGGAATTTAACTGATTAGTCCAGGACAGAAACAAATGGCTCTCTCTCTCTCTCATGCATCATACAATGTACAGTTCAGTACATGTCAGTGATCAGTGTCTACAGCCTGATGGAGACGAATGGCTGTACCAGCAACAAACGACAGCGCTGACCATCTCCTGATTACTGCTCACCTTTATTGGCTTACTGCGGGAGATGGAGAGGGGTCAGAGGGCATTCAATATACAAGAGAGGCAGCCCAGAGCACACATGAAGACGATCAACCATCAGTGTGCGCTAAACACATCTGACAGAGTACAGACGAAAACGCATGCACCAGCAAAAGGTATTCAAGATCAAGCACACACAGATCCACACTAAGTGAAGTATGAAGGCAGAAAGGATGGAGAAGCAGGGATTGCTTAGTTCAGCCGTTTTGTGTGTGTGTGTGTGTCTAGCAGCGACGAGTGGTGTCCGCACACATGCACAAAGCCACGCGGACAAATGAATACATCAATCCACATCAGCCTAACAAGGTGGCTTTCAGGTTAAATCCACAAAGTCTGCGAGAGCCAGAGAGACGGAGAAACAATGAGGGGGTGATACAGAGAAGCAAAGAAACAGGAGAGAAATTAAGAGAAACAGAGAGAGAGAGAGAGAGAGAGAGAGAGAGAGAGAGAGAGAGAGAGATGTGGCTCTCTGAAGACACAGTTGTTGGCAGAGTCTTGTCCGTGTGTGACTGTCGTAGTCAAAGTCAAAGTTCCACGAGGGAGAGATTCAGACAATGGACTGCACCAGCCTGCCTCGGCATCACACCGGCCCCCCAGGCATGCACACACACACACACACACACACATTTTCAGAGAGAGATGCTGTTCGTTCTAAGCTCCTCAGCCTGTTTGTCAGCCTCTAAGCCTGAATGGCATTGGCAAGGAAGAGAGTGAGCTAGAGAGCAAGAGACTGACACACACAGAGAGAGAGAGAGAGAGAGAGAGAGAGAGAGAGAGAGAGAGAGAGAGAGAGAGAGAGAGAGAGAGAGAGAGAGAGAGAGTCGGTGGTGGTGGGTTGGAGGAACCACCATACAGCAATACAAACGCATTCAAACAGAAAACTTCAACAGAAGCAGACAAGCATTTTGACTGTTGAGTATTTTCATAACACCAGTTTACTCACAAGTATTGACGAATCATTTCACAACATGAGAGCATTTTACCAGTGGAAGCGCCTGTGTTAGGACCGGTGCAACTGTTAGATGCTCACACACATTTAAGAAGTGCATAACTGAAGACATTCACACACTCCTCTGACTCTCACACACACACACACACACACACACACACACACACACACACACACACACACACACACACACACACAGAGCTCGGAGTAGTCCCCGTCGCCAAAGGAAAACCCGGTGAAAGAAACGCAGCTGCAACGGTTTGTTTTATGTTCCGTCAGCAGAAAGTCTTTGACTGTACCGTCTTATTTGAAGTGGCTTCAGGAGAGAATGAGTCTCAACTCAAGAACAATACGGACCAATACATATATACATATTCAAGTGTACTGAATGTACACTGAATGTTATGACAGTGACTTGAATGATGTCCTATTAGCATGTATCTTGAAGCATCTCTTCTATCGCTCTGACTGTATTTCACGTGTTTCTAACTTTCCACAGCTGATTTGATTCATTACTGCAACGTTTGAGCTCTGGTTCCACTGTGCCACCACAGAGACGTGAGACATGTGCGACCACAAAGCCACACACACACACACAATTTCTTATTCTGTGTGAGTATTAATGCAGTATGTGAGTGACAAGTATGTTTGCTTTTTGTTCGTTTACTGAGGGGAGTTTGAAATATCCGCTCAGCTGCAGCCTCTGCACTCGGGAAATGCATTTAGTCACAAAAACACACTCAGTCACACAAACCTGCTCATTTTCAGAGAGGGTTTCCACACACACACACACACACACACACACACACACACACACACACACACACACACACACACACACACACACACAGTATATAAAATGGTCTCCCATTTCGGTCATCTCAGATTCTGCAAAATTATAATATAATATGAAATCTTCCAAGGTTCACATTTTCCACAGGATGATGGAGACTTTCCATTACCATAACATTACCCTAACGGTAATAGTTTCGTGTGTGTGTGTGTGTGTGTGGTTGCGGTGCAGTCGCATAGTGGTTTCTTGGGATGTGGAGGGAAAGACCATTGCTGAAAGTGAAAAAAACCTTTCCCAGAAGTCATTGTCTTTAAAGTCCTCACTTGCCAGGACCCCGCCCCTCTCTCGACCAAAGTCCATGCAGCTGTCTGTCGTCTTTATAAGATATAAAAAATACATTAGAGCGGAGGAAAGTGGGTTGGAACGAAGTCTCACGCTTGCCAGGCACACACTCTCTTTAACAGCTCTCTGGGCTTTGTGGGCTTGTAAAACAGGAGACACGTTGACAAGCAACAGGTACAGGGAAAAAGATTGAGGAAAAAAAAAAATAATCATAATAAAGTCTGGAAAAAAGACATGGACCCTGAAACACCAGACATTGTGAACCTGTCTTGTAGAGGGTCCCTGTATTTAACATTTAAACATACTGTAGTTTAGCTCACTTGGTGGATATTTCTAAATACATTTCCATGAGGTGGGGGGGTGGGAGGGTGCTATTGGAGCCCAACACCAAATGCTTGCCCCGGGGTTCCTTTAACAGGTTCATCTGTCCATGCTGTATACCATTGCTGTCCTGTTCATCTCAAATCACCAGCCGTATTTCCCAAGCCTGCTTTATTTAATTCACTCAGATCTGTTCACGAGAGAAGACACGAGGGGAAGTCATTGACAATGAGACCGATTTCATTTTACAACTGTACGCAATTCACAGTTGTTCAGGGTCTTTCATTTTGACGGTTTTCTGACAGCGGACAGAGCCATGCAAATGTCGACAAAGTTAATCAAATCTGACAACAGGATTCAGTTTGCTGTCAATCAAAAGGAAAGCTATAGGAATATGCAACATGATCTATGACGTGAGAGTTTCTTCTTTACCTCTCCATGTTTACCATTTCAGTCCCTCTGAAGTAATCCTCTTTTCCTGTGCGAGATGTTCCCCTGCCTTCCCTTTTTACGTCACTGTATCTTGTCAAGAACAGATTTAACCGCTGTCCCGAGCTTTGGCTCACGCAGAACACGGTGTGGAGTACAGTTACACTTAAGCTACAAAGCCCAGATGAGAAACCCAAAACTCAAAAGGAAAAAAAAGATGTTTCCACCAATTTTTTCAGCTGTTAGAAGATAAAAGGCCTTTTTGTTTTATTATGGGTTCACTCCAATAAAATAAGTGTTCAAACCCCTCGCCTTCATTCTTTCCATATCTTGTCTTTTTTACGCTCCTCATATCACCTTTCCTGCTCCCTTGACAATGGTTCTGGACCTGGCACATAAAAGTCGATACATCAGAATGTGGAAACATGCTGGACTGATGGACAACAATAACGTGGCACACAGCAAGACACACGGAGTGGAATGAGGTTGAGTGCTCTCACGTTCAAAGAGCTCCAAATGGAATAGAGGGATGTAAAAGGCAGAGTGAAAAATAAAAGTGTGTGCAGGCTAAGATGAGATGTTTTAAAGCATCACTCATCTCTGTGTCCCTTTCCCCGTGCTTTCCTTTAAGATGAGTGTCCTCTCTAATTCAGATTTGTTTCCCTGTCGTACCCTTGAGAACAAGCCCGTCCACGAGTGTCTTTAAGAAGTAGCCGTAGTATCGCCCTTCTCTTCTCTCTCTCTCTCCACTCTTTCTGCAAACCTTACTTTCATTTGCACTTCCAGAAAATGAAGGAGATATTTCTAGAAGGAGGAGTATAGGAGTCAAGTGTATAGGAGACAGAGAAGGAGGGATGCAGGAGGAAATGTAAAAGCAACTGGAGAGGGGGAAGAAAAGAGGAGTGAAGATGGTAAATAATGGAGTGACTTCAAACACAGAGTGATGATGAGGTTGTTTTGATTGCTCACATCATTTATTTATTTTTTAAAGATAAAGAACCACTTTTTTCTTGAAAATTACTGCTTATGCTTTTTCTTGGTCCTAATTTATGATAGTGGGGCCGGTCCCATAATGCAATTCATTCAGCAACTTAGTGTGCACTAAAGCACATTCATACGTTATCGACTTAAAGACACTTTGCCGTCTTACTTTTCTTACTTCAGTGCAACCACTTTCATTATTTCTGTTTCTTACTGTTCTGCTTTGTTTTGCTCTTCATCATCCTTTTATCTTTGGATAAGACCCTTTCCTTGAGAATTAGGCAGCAATTTGTAAATGTGTGTGTGTGTGTGTGTGCGTGTCTCTATGTCTTTGACACTGATGATGTGCCGTGTTAGAGGGTGTGTTTATTTGCCGTACCTGCAGAGTTTGCAGCCAGTGATCCGACGTTGCTCTCATCCGCCACTGAAACAAAAGGAACACATGTTAACACACATGCATACACTCTCACTCTCTCCATTGCTGTATGGATTCCTCCCATCTCTTCACTTCTGCATTTATAATTTCATGTGCCAGACTTGTCAAATGTGCAAACATCAAACTGCTGTCCACGTGTTCCTTATCTCTCTAACTTCTGATCTTGTTGCATTCCTCCCTCCCTCCCTCCCTCCCTCTCCTCAGCCTCTCCCCAGCCTCTCCCTCTCCCTCGATCCTTCTGTTATTCTTTCTGTCTTGTTTCACGAGATGGCGGGGTGGCTGCTCTTTTTTCGCCTGTGATGTTGAGTCAGATTCACTGCTACTGAAGTCATTTCCCTTCCTCTCTTCTCTCTCTCACTTCATTTGTCATCCCCCCCTCCCTTCTTCCCTTTCTCTCTTTTAGCCACTCAATCTCTCCCTCTCACCTCTTGCCCTTTACCCTCACTTCTCTTCCCAATGTTTTCACTTTTCCTTCAGTTACAGCGATTTCTCCTCCCTCTTTCCCTCCTTTGATCACCGTTCTCACCATCA